TTATGAATTTTGAATTCAAAGCAAGAGGTCTTTCCCTGGCCTGGATTTCACACTTCAACAATAAGTGCAAAATAATGCACAGGGGAAAAAATAATCCCAACTACACATATACAATGATGGGGTCTAAGTTAGCTGTTTCTATCCAAGAAGGAGATCTAGGAGTCACTGTAGATAGTTCTCTGAAAACTTCAACTCAGTGAGCAGCAATGGTCAAAAAGAATGTTAGGAATTATTAGGAAAGGGATTAAAAAAAATAACAAAAAATCTTAATGCCTCTTTAAAAATCCATGGTGCATCCAAACCTTGAATACTGTGTCCAATTCTGGTCACCCCATCTCAAAAAGGATATGGTAGAACTGGAAAAGGTTCAGAGGTGGGCAAAGATGATTAAATGTATGGAATAGTTTCCATACAAGGAGACATTAAAAAGATTAAGACTATTCAGTTTACAAAAGAGATGACTAAGGGAAGGTATTATAGAGGTCTATAAAATCATGAACAGTTGGGGGAAAGTGTTATGTACCCTTTCCCACAATACCAAAACTAGGGGTCACCTGATGAACTTAATAGGCAACAGGTTTAATACAAACAAGAGAAAGTACTTTTTCCAAACAAAGCACAACTAACCTGTGGAACTCATTGCCATGGGATGTTGTGATGGTCAAAACTATAACTGGGTTCAAAAAAAGAACTGGATAAATTCATAGAGGCCCATCAATGGCTATTAGCTAAGATGGTCAGGGATGCAACCCTATATTTGGAATGACCCTAACCCTCTTACTACCAGAAGCTGGGTGTGAAACACTGTTTCCTTAGAGGTTTTTAAGGCCTGGCTTGACAAAGCCTTGGCTGGGATGATTTAGTTGGCGTTGGTCTTGCTTTGAGCAGGGGACTGGACTAGATGATCTCCTGAGGTCTCTTCCAACCCTAATATTCTATGATTCTATGACGGGACATATCATTCCATAATTGCCCTGTTCTGCACACTCCCCCTGAAACTCTGGTATGGGCCACTGTCAGCGACAGGATACTGAGCAAGATGGGCCCTGGTCTAACCCAGTATGGCAGCTCCTATGTTTTCTGCTGTTGTAAAATGTTTATTATAGGCAGGAACAACCGTTCTCTCTTTATGGCCGTAAGATGGCCCATATAAGACCATTTTGTCAGACAACTCTAAGTTGCAACAACTGAAGCAGAGAAAGTATTTTTTAAATAAAAGCATTATTCCTGCCAGGAAAACGAGAAGTTTCAAGAGGTTATATTTCTCCCACCTCTCCAAATACAGCCTTCACAGATGTGTTACTCCATTCACAGCTGACAAAGCCAGTGCAACAAGCTGATTGCTTTGGGGGAATCCGTCACCTAGTTAGCGAGAGCAGCAGGGTTCCCACACTCAGCATTACTGAGCTGACACCTGACTGGTGCCAGTTGTAGGGCACGGAGAATCACAGCTGCAGGCAGTTCTCCAGCTGGCCAGAGCCTGACAAATGAAATTCCATACTACTATGAATGCAGGCGGCCCCCTGACATTCCAGAAGGGGGGGGGGGGGGAAGAATCCCACCTAGCTGATGGAATTAAAGGGAGAGTAGTCTAACAGGGTAGTCTAGTAGTCATTTTCAAATCAGGGTGCATTAAAAAAAACCCAGACCTATAATCCTATAATTAAGTGCAATCTCTTTTCAGTGTGTAAATAGTCAATATGGAAACTGTAGCTCTGATCTAGTCCCGCCTTTAATTATTCTGTGTCTCCCAGTGAGTCTTGATCTGGAACACAAATATACAGTATGGTGCCATTTATTCATCCAAGTCATCAACTGATCAACAGATGTACCATTTTATCCCCATCTGGACACATACAAGTGCTGCATTTCTATAAGAATATACCTTTTTGAAGAAAAAGAGTGAGGGAGGACGGTATTACTATGCTGTGAAGCAAAGCTAAAGGAGGGAATCAAACTTTAATGGTTCCCTACAACCAACTCCAGTTGTAACAAAAGTGTGAACCCTATGTATTAATGACACAGTGAACTACACGTCAGTGTCCCTTTTGTGAAAAAGCATCCTGCATTACATTTTGTTTTAAAGCTACAATTAAGGGTATGTCTACACTACCCGCAGGATTGGTGGACAGCAATCGATGCAGCAGGGTTCGATTTATCGCGTCTAGTCTAGACGCGATAAATCAACCCCCGAGCGCTCTCCCGTCAACTCCTGTATGCCAACGCCACGAGAGGCACAGGCAGAGTTGACGGGGAGCGGCAGCAGCTGACTCACCATAGTAAGTCAATCTAAGTACGTCGACTTCAGCTATGTTATTCACTGAAGTTGCGTAACTCAGATCGATCCCCCCCCGAGTGTAGACCAGGGCTAAGATTTTGTGAGAGGTAAATATAATTGTTTTCCCCAGTGTTTAAAAAAGCAGAAAATACTTGAAACAACAATTCTGAAGTTTGGAAGGGAACAACAAGATGGGTAAACAGGGTTGGTAGGTGCTGCCAGGATACTGTTGGAATAATTAATTGTGATATCTGGCATCATTCTATGATCTGCAGGGAAGGCATCTTTCTTAATTTGTGCTCAAACAGGGAACTTTTACTCTGTGGAGAAGGCTGATCTGGGAGAAAAACAAGATTATAGAATTTATTAATATCAGAGGGAGTTTGAAGAAGCAATTGATGATTTGCAAGGGGAGTAGAAGGCCATTGGACAGCATAGGAAGCAGAGAGAGGAAAAACAGGTAGCTCATTTGAAGAGGATTTACAGTCCTCTACAAAGGTTTAAACTGCCCCAAAGAGACAGTATTGGAATGAATCAGTACAACTTTTCTACAGACATCTACATGAAAAGTTAAAAGTGGAGCTTTTCCCTTCTTTTAATCTTTTCAACTTTTCCCAGAACTGCAAAGGTTCATCTCAATGAGACCTGCCATTGTAGTGGTACTTGCCAGGAGGAAGAGCAGCATGCCAATATCAGGCCCAATCCTTCCAGATGGTGAGGCTCCCTCAAATTCCATTCGCAACATGATCGATCTGAAGTAGATCTTTACTCTTTGGGACTGGGCTCCATAGTGTGTCACAAAGTGCTAACCCATAGATAAATGGATGAGAAAAGTTATAGACTTTCAAAGATGTTTTAAAGTTCTGTTTACTGGTAAAGTTTGTGTAGAAAGTGATATTTGCAAAGAAAGGCTGCTCCAGTGGGTAGGACACTACCTTAGGTCTTGGGAGACCAGAATTAAGTCCTCTCCCGCTGTGACGTCAGGTAAGTCACTTGGCCCCTCTGTGCCTCAGCTCCCCATCCATAAAATGGACATAATAGTTCTTCCCTACTTAAAAAGGTGTTGTGAGGATTAAGGATTGTGAGGTGCTCAGATACTAAAGGTAGGGGGCCCCACATAAGTACCAGAGACAGACAATAAACCAGTGTTAAAGAGAGGTTCTAGTAAACAGTATTTCTCTTAGCACAGAAAGCTGCCAGCCTCTCTGGTGCATTCCTCTGCTGAGTAACGCTTCATTCATCATGAGCTAGTTGAGACAGGCAAGATGGCAGCTTCCTGTTCCTTCAGTAGTTACTGATTTTAATGTATAGGTAGTGTTTTCTCTAAAAATTGGACATTTGTATTTAACGAATCAATAAATACTTCAAAAGGAAAACTGACATGTATCTTTTTAAACATGGAAGATTAAAGTTTCTAAAACCAAGCCTCACCTTTTTTCAGGACGAGACACGTTTTCAAGTGGTTGTAAAAGACATCTTTAATACCACATTTTATTCTCTCTCTCTTTAAAGAATACCAACACTACAGAACAGATACGTGTCCAATAATGGTTTGGTCAGTTTTAACTATTGTGCGAAGATGGGTGTTTCCTTCAGATGTGGTACTAACATTTACATTGTTTACATAACCCTTTTCTTGTTGTTGCCATTAGCTGGCAGATTATAACCCACATATGTATACACACTACCCCTTATCTCAGAATTAAAAGGTTCCAAATTAAGTGTGGCATAAAACATTAATTACAGCATTCTTCTCTCAAGTCCTGACCTTTGGGAGCCTCCCAAACTTTGTGGGCTGAAATTAAATTAGTCACAAGATAAACACTTGTCATGGGTCAGCCTTCTAGCCTAATGGGTCTGCACAGCTGTATCTTCTCTCTAATCAGTTCTATGCAGTTGCTGTTCAGGATACGATAGGCCTTTTAAAACTGGCAGGCTAACCCCTCCACCTGCACACCAGAGGATAAATAGCGCTGCACTCCAAACTGGTAGAAAGGTTTTGACTCATTTATCATAATCGAACAGGAACACACTGCAGTGACTTACAGGAGATAAATTCCATTTCCAATCCCTTGGCTCCCCGGATGACAGCATTACAAAGGCTGGTGGGAGTGCTCAGAATCATTCAAGAACAACTCCTCAGGCAGAATAAGGAGTGGCACTGATAAGTTCCAAGAGGGAGTCATACCCAGTCATCCGCAGTTAGGAGTATAGTTGGTAGGATCCAGTGCCTTGAAAACAGGTGTGTAGAGCGTGGGAAAACCAGCAGAGGAGGAAAGAATGCTGAGGACCAAAGCGGGGGACTCCTGGGGGAGAGGAGGGTGCCACAAAGCATTGCTTAGGCGAAGTACAAGGACCACAGAGAAGTTCCATTGCTGCTCAATTTGGCCACTTATTTAAATCGCAAGAGAAGCAAAGAAGTGGTTTAAAGGAGGGGCATTAAAATTTTAATTTTTGTAAAGTGGGTTTAGTGCCACCAAATCCAAGGTTAGTTCTCTTGGGTCTCTCTCCTGAAGAAGATATGGATTCATCTCCTCACAGGCAGAAATTTCTTTTTTTGGGGTGCAACTTTTGTCTCACACAACAGAAGAAATCAGATGGTCCTGACTGACGTCACTGGTGGCACATTCTAAAGCTATTGAACTCATTTCCTTAATGAGAAATGAATCTCGTCCTGACTAAATACAATGGTATGAAAATAGATTTTTTTCTTTCTTTTCAGGGTCCAATTATTCCTGGAGAGGCACAGCCCTGTGATGGAGACAGTGTGGAGCACTGGATTGCACTCTGCTTATTTCCTCAAATTGGAGGACGATGAGGCAGGGCCATGACACCTCCACCATCACCCCCTCAGCATAGGAGAGCATGCTGCACCCAGTAAAGGGATGTAGCAGCAGGTACACATTCCCTGTGTACTGGGGAGCTCCGGTAGGCCTTCTGTCTCCAGAGACTGCAGCTGTACCTAAACTTCATGTACAGTGCAGGGGATTGTTCCTTGCATGTGTACCTCTCACATACCTGCATTAGGGATCAGGCACAACCTAGCCGTGTGTGTGTAAAATTGAAATCCTGCTGGATATAGGAGGAAACTGCACGATACACTCGTATGCTCACTTCAGAAGTGTTGTTTTTCTTTAAATATGTTTAATAAAATATTTCCACACAAAAGCTGCTAGTGTCTCCCCATCCCTACATGTATTTATGACTTGTCATCTCCTAAGGGATGTGACTGACAAGTTACAAAGTACTGCTCTTATCCTTTGCTATGACAACTGGTGCATTTGAACTGATACATATGGCGGGGGGGGGAGGGTCTTGTGCATAAGGGGAGGCATCAGAAACACAAACCCTTCTTTTCCTAAGAAGTTTCACAGAGGGCTCAAGTGCAATTTTTTCACCTTTTAAATAAAGCAGCGTTCCTCTCATAACAAACACTCCCTTGGATCCTGGAGCTGAGAACAAAGTAAAAAATGTTTAACTATTTTCAAAACATTAGAATAGCAATATCCTTTCAGATTATTCACAAAAAGTTATTTCTTTACATAGAGAGAGCTCTCTGACTCCTGACCAGTTCAGCTCTTTGGATTTTGTGCCATTTCTACATAAAATTTGTGCCAATCTAGCAGAATGATCAGATCTCATACTAACTAGTTGTGTGAGATGTGCCAATATTGTCTGAATGATCACGCTAATATTTTGATACTGGAGATAAAAATGCTGCAGATGCTTTCTAAAACAGACCCTTTATCTGCTTATGTTGGCACCCATCGTAATATCTGAGCACTTTGAGGATAGATGACTGGTACTGCACATGCGAGACTATGATTTTTCAAACGCCCCACAACTGCTACAGTCACACTCACTAATCTTGGTACAGCTGCTGTGGATATTTTGTGCTTAAACCATATCCAGGCACTTCTCTCCATTCCCCCCAACCTTCCAGTTTATCTTCCCAGGGACAACAACAGGCCATTTAAAAACTTGCCATCTAAATTGCTCTTTGCCCAGCTTTCAGGAGTTCCACATCCTTTAGGAAAATTATTAGAAAACCAAGATTACAGTTCTCCTGGACAACTCTCAGAATAGTCCCACTGGCTACATGGCTCACCACTCACTTGTTCACATTTTCCACTTATTCTGGATGAGCAGACAAGTGGTCTTTTCAAATCCTGATGTAGGCTCTCTAGAAAACGTTCAGTGTTGTATCTAAAGGCCGCAGAGTCAATACACTAGTCTAATGGAAAGGGTTCTGACCTATCTCCCATTTTATAAGTATGTTTTCCTTCGTTTCGTACAACAGAAAGAGCATTAGATCCTTGCCTAGACATACAAATGCAATCTCCTATTGTTAATCCAGAGCCTGAGCTTAGAAAAAACATATGGGTCCTGAAAGTATAGACAGTTTTCCAATCAAGTGCTTATAAGTCCCGGTAGGTTGCAAAATATAGGTTTAAAAAGCATCCGTCTTCTCTAATTTAAGAACTGTTTCCATAGTATATATTCAATGATTCACTAACAATACTTGGTACCTCTACAGTAGTGCATTCTCCCTCCCGTTGGAGCCCCAAGCTATTGTTTAGGTCACTTGCTTATATCTATTGAGGCAGTACCTAGAATCCCCAATCAAAGGTCAGGGATTCATTGAGTTAGGCTCTGTACCACAACGAAAAACAGTCCCTAACCGAGGGAGTCTAGGTGTCTGTCAAAAGACATTGAGGGTATAAGTCTACACAGCAACTAGACAGACTGTGCCAGCCGACTTGGGCTGTGGGGCTGTTTTATTGCTGTGGAGACTTCTGGGCTGGGGCTGGACACTGGACTCTGGGACCCTCCCACCTAATGGGGTTCTAGAACTCAGGCTCCAGCTCGAACCCAGAAGTCTACACTGCAATGGAACAGCCCCGCAGCCCAAACCTCGCAAGCCTGAGTCAGCTGGCACAGGCCAGCGGCAGGCTTTTCTTTACTGTGTAGACATACCCTAAGATGGCCTGACTGAGCCAAATGGAGAAATTGGACTTCATCCTCTCTCTAAATTTGATACCTTTTGTCCAATGCATTGGGTTACTGTAGCTATGAAGAAAGAATAAAAGGGAGATCCCAGGGTGGCATGGCTTTGACAAAGGCTCAGGCATACCTGGAATTCCTGTCACCACAAATTCCATGTGTCAGTCTTCATGCCTCTCCTATCCCGAGAGACAATACTGTAAGCCCCCAAAATTGGCTATAAATGAACTCTTTATGCTTGGGATCACCATATTGGCAGGGAAAAATATAATGACTTAAAAAAGTGTCTCCAAAGACTATATAATGTCCATTGACAAACAGATCCATCTATTCAAGGTAAGTACACAGACTATGTGGAGACATCGCTGCTTTTTCATCACAATGCGTGGGAGGGAAAGAGTCCAGCCAAACCACAAAATGTATAGATTTTGGATGAAAAGTAAATGATTTATACCATGGTAAACTCTGTAAGGAGTCACTGTAAAGAAGCATATCTGACACCAGGGGGATAATCATCTTACGTAGTAGCGCTGTGCATACGTAGATCTCCAAGTGCTAAAAAAAATTTTACTGGGCATCAGGGATTAAGTTTGTATTGCAACAGATAAATTAGCTGAAAACTGAAGAATACACAAGTGGTTGTCTGAGATCCGAGCTCTGAACAATGCAGAAGGATTGTGGGGTTTTAAAGGCAATGTAGTACTGAGGATATAGAATGACATTGACAAATTATGCTGAATAGTTTATTTTTGTTTCCTGAATCCTCACAATCAAAGTATCTAAAACTATAAAAAGGTAAGCACTACTAACAAAACTTAATTCAGACAAACTTCAGCATACAGTTATGTCCTTGTCTAACGATGGGTCTACAGAGTAATTAAACACCCGCGGCTGGCCCGTGTCAGCCTGGTCTGACTCAGGCTCACAGGACTTCAGCTGCGGGATTGTAAAATTGCCATGTAGATGTTTGGGCTCAGACTGGAGCCTAAGCTCTGGGACTCCATGAGCCGGGGAGGATCCCAGAGACCGGGCTCCAGCCCAGCCCAAATGTATACACCACAGTTTTACAGCACAGTACCCAAGCCCTGTGAGTCTGAGTCCGCTGACACAGGCCAGGCACAGCTGTTTAACTGAAATATAGATATATCCCACAGGTCTTCAATTCCTATCGGTAGTTTCAGATCTCCACTAATTTCTCCCCTTCCTCTTCATCTCCCTACCCTGTGGGTTCCTTCTGTGAAATTGTAAGTTTCTATCCTCCCTTCCCCCTCTTCCCCACTGCCAAAAAAACCCAAAAAACCAAAACCAAACAAAAACACCAACAAAAATTTTATTCCCTTCAGACAAAGCCAGTGTTCTTTGCCATGTCTGTCTTCACCTCACTTTCTAAATATTGTTTGACAATATCAGGAATTGCAAAATCTTTATTAAATAAGGCAGCATTACTAATTCTGTGCTAAATTCCCACAGTGGAAGCCAAACGGTGACAGATACAAGATATTTTATCTAATTACACACCAATCTTCAGCAAAATGAGATTAAGAAACACCAAAGTTAGTATATTCTAACTCATTTCTCCCTTTAAAATATTTTAATATACATACGCTTCACTTTTTAGTGGTGTTTTAACATACATTACTTAACATATTAATTAACATGATAATATAGTCTAGTATGCCTGAGACAAATGTTTGCTTCTGTGTGTCCTGGAAGAAGTATTTTGTGTAGCATAGTTATCATATGTTAAAAAGCAACTAAAAATTGAAGTGTAGACACTCCCTTTGGGTGTCAGATGACTTTCAGAAATGAACTGGATTGTTCCAAGATGTGCAGAGGTTGCCCTACTCTGGGCACTTCCTCCCATCTTGAGCAACAGATGAAGACAGCATAAAAACCTGTAAAACCTGTCTCTTAAAAAGCTACTGAAACACTTGCCCTTGGCTGGGGGAAACCAACAACATTTAAATCCAGACAGCTGCAATGGGAAAAAGAAAGACAGGGAGAAGAGTTTTCTGGGCCTCCATTTGCTTATGGATAAAATCCTTATTAATTTTTTTTACACACTAATCCCCTGTAAATATCTGCATCTGTCCAGTTTTTCTTCTGGATGGGTACATCATAGCATCTAGAGCTTCATGTTAAAGTTCCAACAGAAAAGCATCTCTTTGTTCCGTCAGTTCATTTTAAATGGGTCTGGCCTTTGGCCAGGGCAATGCAAAAGTTGGGCTCAGTCGAAAGGAAATGTTTTAAACTATTAACACCGCATTTGCATGCCAAACACGAAGACTGCACTTTTAAATAAGAAAACGAAAAATAAAAGGCTCCAGCTATGAATCATCTGCTTGTCTGGACAAGAAAGTTTTACAGAGAATCTGGAAAATCCTGATTCTAGGAACTCCTGAAGTTTTTTTGAACACCTGCATGGCTCTGCTTCACAGAGCATAGATTCTGAAAATATTTGTGGGGGAGGTGGACCGTATTTATTCTGGGAGAAAACTATTCAGTCCTTGGGAAAGCACTGGAGTCCTGTTTGTTTTTATGCTTCTCCAGTCAGATCAGTCAAAGGCCACTGTAACGTAAACATGCCAGACTTCATATCTACTACCTCCCCACGTGACTGGGAAACTATTTTAGCTGAGCTCTGCTCTTTAGTTAATTTTGGATTGTTGCATTTGATTAAAACATGCCCCTGTATTACACAGCCCACAGGAAGTGAGGAGGAGATTCCTAGCCTTGTAATAATGTTAGTCAATAGCTTCCAGCACTCCCTCTCCAGTACTATGCACAGAATGAACATCACATTGTTAGTCTGACAAACTGTGGGAGGATACTGGGTTGGAGACTCATCACATTGACGAGTCAGCCATAATTCCTTCACAATAGGAGCTTTCTCTAGAAGCTGGATATCAAAAAACCCTCCCCAAAACTACAGAACAGAATAAAAGCAAGTTTCCTAAACAGAGACCCAGCTCTGCCAAATCCATCTGAAATAAAACACACACACAGGCTGGTGGCTAGAGTTACTGGAGATGGGTATGTCTCTTCCCAGTAAGGACAGACTCCTATCATAACCATCAGATGACACTTAAATGTTAGCATTGAGGTAAAATAGAAGGACTGCTATTTTGGAGGCATTATTTCAGAAGGCAAATGAATACAACAAGTGAGTCAAATGTACATACCTTGGTAGTAATGTGCAAGCCAATGGTGATGTTTAGAAGAAAATAATATTAGGAATAGGCAAAGTGGCAGCTGCATTTACCAGCTTAAACAAGTTTTGCTCATTGAAAATTTACAACTTAAAAGACCAGACTATGAAACTTCAACTCAAATGTTATTTCCATCTTAATATGTGGGTTAGAATGCTGGAAATCCACTGAAGTTGGACAGACAGACATTTAAATGCCTTTGAAAGCAAACGCCTTAGGAAAATACTAGGTATTGAGTG